TATTTCTAAGATCTAAAATCCTTCGAATCTATAGTAATGTAAATCTCATCACAACGTAGGATAGTGCAGACTAAAATAAAATTGAATAGAACTAAAAAAAATAGAATATAAAAGGTAGAATAGAGTAAAAGAAAATAAAATAGAATTGAATGAAAAAGTGTAAAATAAAACTTTATTAAGAGAAAAGGATTGAAGCTATATCTAACTAGATATCCAAATGGCCTTAGCCAATTCTATTTATACTTTATCTAATCATCTTCAAACTTACTAAAATGTTCTTAATTGTGGCCTCTACTTAAATAACCGCCTTAAGTCCTTTTTAGAATATTTTATAGTAGATCCTACATGAACTACCAATCTAGTCCTAATTCTAGAAATTTCTAGAAACTTTTCAAATATGGCTCTTATTAGCTATTTTTTTGCATCAATAATACGAATATCTTATTCATATTTCATTATAGGTCTTTTCTTCAAATCTTTCCAAGTAAGAAGCAATTCATGTTTAATGATCTTTAACATTATCCCTTAAAGATTATTGCTTTGATAAAAATAAGATAGATGGTAGAATTAAACTATGACATTAACACACACGTATTCTTATTGTATTAAGAGAAGATGCAAAATTGGGTGTAATGTCATGATGTAGGCCATCTAATAATTAAATGGTAGGTATTTATGTGTATTGTGCCTACCTAAGATATACAATTAGATTGATGTTAGTAGTTTATTTTTATAGTTCATATACTTGTTTGTTTGTTAAAAAAATATGCCATAAGATTGATAATCAAAAAGATGATAAGATAAGAATAAAAATTAGATAAACTATATGTGATGGATTTTCATCTTAGATTTTTCTTGGTGATATTATTGAAAATGAAGATAAAGATGTGGTAGACTACAAGGAATAGATTCTTATTTGAGAGTTTTTTTGATGATATTTTTGAGGATGGAGATAAAAATAAGGTAGACCATATGTGATGGATTTTTATCTTGAAGTCTTCTTAATGATGTTTTTAAGGATAAAGAAAAAGATAAGATAGACCACATATGGTGGATTCTCATCTTGGAATTCTTTTGGTGACTTATAAAGATAAAGTAGACCATTTGTGGTAGATTCTTATCTTATAATCCTCTTAGTAATATTTTAAGGTATCAAAGTGGCTTAAGGGAGGAAGAAGAAGCTCAAAGTGAAGGTTGTTATTATTATTGTATATTTTATTTTGGTTAATAAAGAGAAAAAATTTAGATCTTAAAAAAAATCTATTGTAATTTATTGGAGTCTTTGATTGAAGCAAATTTTTAGAAAATTCTTTAAAATAAGTTTATCAATTTTTATGAAAAAGATGAAGGCATTAACTAATCAAGTCAAAGAAAAAAATAGTGCTAAAGCAAAGAGGGTCCAACAAGATTTCAAGTCAAGGATAGCAACTTTGAGGAGTCATAATTTGATTTTCATAAGGAGTAGGATTGTGAAGAAAAAGCAATGATAAGAAAATTAGTTTTGGTAATTTTTTTGCTATAAACAATTTAAATCATCAATTACTTTGAAATATGGAATATAAAGAAGTGATGAAATATGTAATCTATTTCAAAAAGTTTTAAATTATTTTGTTGATCTTACATTGAATAATACTAGTCCAAAATGAAATAGGTTAGATTAGATGCAAGTGAAGATTTTTTTAATAACTTAATATAAACTAATGCAAAAAAGAGAATAGAAACTAATTTAAATATACATAAGCAACAAAAATCTCTGCAGTAAGAAGCTTTGTATTTTTCCAAACCAACAACAAACTTCTTAATATTTGTGTTTCTAATGTGTAATATAGTGGAGTAAAAATCAACAAAAATTTGCCAATACAAGGTGTGGATTTCAAATTTTCTTTAAGGAGTTCTATCCCTTGATTCAACCCACTATTGGGTCAATAGAACCACCAAAAGAAGGGCTATAGCCCTTTTTAATCCTCCTTATGGTTGTATTAGATGACAAGATCTACATAAAAATACCCAACTAATTATAAGCCTTTATGTTTTTTGGATGTGTATACAACAGTATGACATGTATGTGTAATAACTTTGGATGTGCTTATAGCTTGAGTCTTATAATAATTCAACTATAATAATTTTAGTGGTTAAAATATAAATAAATAAATATAATCATATATTTTTATTATAATAGACATTTTTTGGAATGTTTAAATAAAATTGGTAAATATTATAAAGTTTATTAATTAAAACATTATATATAAATAATTTTATTTAAATATTATGATTAAATATAATTTATACAAACCATACTAATTCAATCTTCTAATAATATTATTAATCAATTACATGTTTTTTTTCAAAATATGAATGAATATATATATATATATATATAAGAGAATGTTAAAGTCAGCCACCTTTTTACTAAATTTATCTACCTTATTCTAACCATCATTAAAAAAAATAGATCATCTCCAAAAACCATCATTACAATCATGGCCTTCATCTCAACCTCTCTCTACTCTCAACCTCCATTCCCAACTCTCATTCTGATCCCCCTTGTTCCAAACCCAGCTCCTTCTGTTCCCATTTTTATCCCAACTTCCCTCATTTCCAGTTCTCATCTCCCCTCGTTCCTTGGTGAAGCCTCCTCCGGCTTCTCATGTCGAGATTGAAGGTCGCCTGGCAGCGCTATGATGCGTATGCACATCGCCAATCCGCCTTACTCTTTGGCGTTTGTCGGTACCTTGAAGTAGGGGTTCTTTAATACTGGTGAATTGAGGATGCAGTTGGAGAGGATCAAGCCCAGTTCATCGGCGTTGCAAAGACGAAAGAGTTGTATCCACTTGTTTGCGATCCTTTTCAAGTCTCATTCCTGTTTAATATCCCTTCGTCAGGACTTCAAGTGAAAGGTTACCTGTACTCTAGAATCGCTGCATCTCGTATTTAAAATGCCACAATTTGAGACACTTGATTTCTAATTTCGTACAAATGCGGTTGGTTTTGCCGTCTGTGTCTCATAGAACTTAATGGTAACTTTTCAGGTTGATCAAACTGCTCAGGAGTTGCTAGATGAGCTAAAAGGTGTATCAAAAGGGCATTACGAATGCCGACCCCTTGTGTTGACGAACTTACAATCACTAGACTATGATTGTAAACCGAATTCTGAAATTTTGACGAAAGGATACTTTGCCCATCCATCACTACAACATGGTCTGTCTAGAGTGCGTCATATCGAGGCATACACAAAGAGGGGAACAGCTACTTACTTTTATAGAAAGGACAGGCCTAAGAATTACACATTCTTGGAGCACGTCAATAATTAGATTGACTCCCATGGGCCTCTGTCTTACATTCGCGTGTGAGCATAGTGTATCCATAGCTTTGAATACAATCAAGACTCAATTTCGAACGTAGTTGATCCGATCCTATTTTCGTCAGTTCAGAGCAAATCCAACAATGCATATCTCGAAGACTGTCGTTCTATATATATTAAGTTTAACTAATAAAGTGTTTCTATTTGAACTGGTACCAAAAATCATATAAAATATCTAAAAAAATCATATAAATTATATCAGCTTAAAACATGTAGTGCAATTTTTTTCTGTTTTAAAAATCACATTGTAATATTAAAAAGCACATATTTAAATGATTGCCAACATGATTTGTATGATTTTTTTAGATTCAATTCCGAATGTTCAGATTTACATATATTGATTTTCTATTAAAGTATGAACCACCTTCCCAAGCAATAGTTATACCAATTAAAATACTTTGCATTAAAATGGTTCTCTTATGCATGGGACATTCTAAATAGATTCATTATTTTTTTGTACTTTGAATATAATTTATTTACTGGTACTTTTTGATTTGTTGAGTTACATTATTTGGATATATTAATCTGTTTTTATTGCAATTATGATAACACAAGGTACAAAAATATTGCAACAATAGCTTAAGTATTCAATATTATACACAGAGTTCATTCAACCAAGTTGAAAATACTAGTTTCAACCCATTTTATCTTTTGAAAAATCAAGAAACACTTAATACAAAAGCCACAAAACTGCAAGTCGTCCCAATTATGAAGGCAACACAATTTATACCTATTTAACAAGATGCAGTACTAAATCAACAAAAAAACCTAAAACAAAAAAGAATAATAATGATAATAAAAATACAATACATAATTACACACACTCACTAATCTTCATCACCAAAACATAATTCTTCAACCAGAGAAGCTTTTGATTGAAATAAAAACACATGTACAAAACCCAACAAAAAATCAAGAGAAAAAGCCACGCCTCACATGCATATAAATATACTCTACTCCTCATACACACTACAATTTGATTATTAAAAATAAACAGTTGTATTCACACACAAAACACCAACAAAGAAATAAATACAAAGACATTCACTCATACATCACCTTTTATTTATTTGTTAATCAAGAGGAACTTATCTCTACACATTCATCCATCCGCTAATACATCAACCTATTCATCCATCCGCTAATACATCAACCTATTCATCCATCCGCTAATACATCAACCTATTCATCCATCCGCTAATACATCAACCTATTCATCCATCCGCTAATACATCAACCTATTCATCCATCCGCTAATACATCGACCTATTCATCCATCCGCTAATACATCAACCTATTCATCCATCCGCTAATACATCAACCTATTCATCCATCCGCTAATACATCAACCTATTCATCCATCCGCTAATACATCGACCTATTCATCCATCCGCTAATACATCAACCTATTCATCCATCCGCTAATACATCAAAAACAGAGCCCTCGCATCAAAAAATAATACAATAATAATAAAAATCATTATATATACAAGTGAAAGAAAATCGTGGATTGCCACGGTGTCTGCCATCGTGGGAGTTCACAGCCACGTAAGCAGACTCAACGCCACCTCAGCAATCGAAACTCAAAAACAAAAGCAGCAACAACAAAAGAGAAAAGAGAACATCGAAGCAAGTGCGGCGCACTTCGCATCGACACTTGTGCTCAGTCTCAGTTCACTTGTGTAGGCGTCGCCGATCGACCCACCGAGGGATTTGCACTGGAACCGGAACAATCCCGGAAAAATCTCCGAACAATCCCGGAAGAATCCTTTGATGCGGAGAATGCGAGCTTTCTGGGACGGAGTCGAGATGGCACCACACCTAGCTGTGCGAAGTGGGATGCTCTCCGGAGCCGTGAGTAGCTTTCGTGACGACTGGTCACAAGTGTCGTTTCCAGAGCGAGTCACGCCATCTGGCAGGTTAGATATCCACTTTGGCTTGTATCGGTGGTGGGTTTCTACTATCATCGGGTTCTATTATCGCTTCCGCGATCGGCCATGTGGAAGCTTGGAATTGCCGGTTTCGGTCCCTCGGGAGATGGTCTCGGCGACACGCTCGGGTGCACGAGCCTTTCGTGCTGTCTGAGTGATTGACGATCAGTTGGTTCAGTTTCAGTGTACAGAAAAAAGGAGATTTTTTTTTTTTTTTTTTTTTTTTTTTTTTGTTTGCGAGAAGGAGAATTGGTTGCTTGTGTGACCCCTGATCCCACCAGGTTTGTGTCGAGGGAGTCTAGGCTTTTCGGCGCTGATGGTGTCGTTTGATCTTTCCTTGTCTTGCTGCTACTCTTTGGCTGATTGACTTCCATGGTGTTGGATCGTTTAGTGGTGGATTCGAGCTGGGTGACGGCGGGTTTTGTGATAAAGGACATCCTTTGTTCGCGGATGACAGGTCAGTCTACCTCCATGTTGGATTGTGAAAGGAGCTTCTAGCTTGTGGAAGACTACGCTGACGAGTTGTGTGTGCTGTGAGCATTGAGGGAAGAGCGATGGTGCTGAAGTTGTTAGGAACGACATAATTGGTGCTGTAGGTTGCTTGAGTCGTGCTCCAGATTAGACCTCTGAAAAGGATTTTGGAAACGGGCTCCGTTTTGGAAGCGCCAACTGGGTTCACGGGTAGAGTTACCACAGAGTAGAACTTTTTAGCGAGTGGTATGGTCCCGACATACTACAGCCCTGAGGCCTGAGCAAAGTTCACACCAGAGGTCGCAATGAATTGGTGGATTGAATTTGATAGGAACGACAGGCCTCGCATGTGGAGATGGAATGGGTGGGATCGAAAGAAAGGGTTAAGCTCTCCAAGTTGTTGCTTCTCTTTTCCTGTCACTTGCTCTTCACTCTCTCTGCGGGAGAACAGACAGAATGGATTTCGTGCTTTTCTCACGCATCCATGAATGCGAATGGCGTGGACAAACGAGTGCTCAACACCATCAAGGATCCATTTCGCCTTCGGGGATATGCTCGAAGCCTTCGAACGCGAGGGTTTGATGGAGAACCTAACAAAGAATCTACAGAAAAAAACAGTGAAGAGGTGACAACAGCATCACTGGACAACGTATATTATGTGGGCGAAGTAAGGCAATTTCAGGTAATGAAATGAAAGTTGTGTGGCAGTTTTTTGAAGTCGAGAATCGTAATTAAGGACTTGTGCTGTAATTTTCCATTCCACCGGGTTAGTTTTGCAATACATTTTCGTGGTTGCGAGCATGGACTGTGCTGTTTTTCGGCAAATTCTCACGGAAGGATATGACCTCACGAGTGTACAGTTGATTTGAACTCTCTCGTTACACTTCCTCTGTTCTTGTGGTTGCAGATGGTGAACACGGCAGGTTCAATGGTAGCTAAGCCATTGTTATTAAGAAACTTGCTCCAGGTTCCATCTCCCTCTGCGCAGGTCGTAAGTCGACGAACTCCGGTGTCAACCATAGTTATTGCTGTTGTCGTGAGCGTCGTTGCAACACTTATTATAGCCTTGATTGCATTCTGCATTTATCGCGAGCGCTTGAAACGGAAAAGCTTGGCCAACGACGAGAGACCTCTTGCCTATTCGGTCTCACGTCTTGGGAAATTAGAATCGGATCAGTCGGGCTTGTATGGTGGTGAATCTCTTCCAGTTCATGCTCCTGCGGCAAACCCATCTTTGAAAGACAACATCCATTCAGTGTCCAAGAGGCTACTAGGTTTACAATCTCGACCCACCTCGAAGGTTGGTAGTGAGCTCGGTGACGACGTAAAGAAACCGAACCATGACCTGGACACAATACTGTCGCATGCTGGGATGACGTTTAACCCTAGCTATTCAAACTTGTACGATAACAACTTGACAGAAGCGCGATTTTCAGATGCAGCGCGTAGCAGTTTGTTTCGGTATCCCACCATGCCTCCCTTTTCAAAAATGGGACTCGATGGTGGAGCATTTGGAACTAGGGAGGGAGGGATGTCCGGCTCCAACGATATACCAGTCAAGCCATCGCCTTCTCCCTTGGAATTAGACCAACCCCGGCATTCAAGTGCAGCTGTGATTGTACCAGAGGCAACTCAACACGAGGTTGGAGATTTCAAAGTTGCTCAAAAGAGCGATCTCAAATCTCAGGCGTCATTGGTTCTAAAAATCCGAGCAGAGTTTGAAGAACTTGGCAGCGCAAGTGCCACCCAACCTCAGCCTAATCACCGTGGCCAGAAACCTAAGTTCAACAATGCTATGGATCCATATCCAGTTGGTTGGCAACGAAATTCCATGGGGTCGAAACACAAGAAACCCGATGCTCCGATCAAGTCGAGTTTCATAAGTGTTCCAACCCCAGGGCCGCGTCCCTTGCCTGCTCCACCAATCGGTGCAGCTCGGCCAGAAATAGTCTCAGAGATTCCGGAGACTGCGTTGCCAAAGTTGCGGAACTACATGCAGCAGTTTTCAGCAAATGGTGAAGACGACGATTCGAATAGTGGAGGCTGGTCTACACCAACATCTCCATTGTCACATGAACTGGGACGTGACGGCTCCATTCGCCCATCTAAATCTGTTGAAAAAACTGGTGAAGGGAAAGGGTCAAGAAGGTGGTCAGACAACACCAAAGCATCGGACTCCTTCACCCGTGGTGGTGATTTACCCGCAAAGGAGGATTCTTCTACTCCTCTGCAAACACCATCACCACCACCACCTCCACCACCTCCACCGCCGCCTCTGCCTGGAATAAAAAAAGGTCTGTCTCCGAGTGGTAAATCCCCTCCATTCCCACTCACTCCCCATCCTGGAAGCCAAGTTGCTGTACGCCCTCACGAAATAAAAAATTCCGAGCTCTTGCCTCCACCTCCACCCCCGCCTCCGCTTCCTGGTGGCAAAAACCCCGCAACTCCACCCCCACCGGCAGATAGACCCCCTCGTAATTCATTTCCTGGTGGAAGAGATAGCATCCTGCCGACATCTTTCTCAGAGGATTTCCCACATCGAGAACCTCCAAAGCAGTTGAAGCCTCTCCACTGGGACAAAGTGAAGGCCACCCCAGAGAAAGACGTTGTGTGGCGCGAGTTGAACCAGTCATTTGAGTAAGCCTCACATATCCATATGCTTGAATCCTCACTCAAGTTTTGATTCTTTTTGCGGCTTGCGGCTTGCGGCGTCTAAGCGCTTCAAAGGACCCTCGACGACTTAACATTGTTTTATGATTTGGGTTTCCTACCATTTGTGAACTAGCCAGAATCACCAATCAGAGCGGATGTTGACAAGGTTGGTGTTGTGTGTCCAGGCTTGATCCGGTTACACTGGAGACCATGTTTGGAATTCAGAAGACGGGTACTACTAAAGCATCAATGAAAATGGCTTCATTCTTCGGAAAGGGCCATGAGGGAATACTCGATCCAAAGAAGGCTCACAATTTTGGTATTCAACTTCGTGCGTTGAGTCTAACAAGGAATGAAGTCTGTGAAGCTTTACTTGAGGGTAAGCTCTTGCTGAAAAAATTACTAGTCCCCTTAACATTGTCGTCGCAAATCGTTGCATCACCCATTTTACTGAATTGAGTGCAAATATGCCTGCTCTCTGGTCCTTTGTAGCCTATGCTTGAACGAATGTAGCACAACTCCTAACTCTGAGCTACAAAACTGATGCTCTGAGCGTTGATGATCACTATGCTTCAAATCCTTGCAGGCGAAGGCCTAAGTGGTGAAATTCTCGAGATCCTGGTCAAGGCAGCCCCTTCAGAGGAAGAGAAGAAGAAATTGCAGGAATTTGAGGGAGACCAGGGGCGTCTAAGTCCTTCTGATCGTTTCATGTATGCCCTCCAGAGCGTACCCAACGCATGGTTGAGATTGGAATCGATGCTTTACAAAGCCAGGTACAAGGAAGAGCTTCAAACTGTTCAGGAGACTCTTCAAACACTGAAGGTAGACGTGCATCCCGTTTCTTTCATTGATCTAAGCCACTATATCTGTGACGAATTGATCATTAGCTGTTCTAGATTTGGGTAAGTTTGTTCAATCCATGTGTCCATGGAAGTTGTCATTGGAAATCAACATTTTTACTTGTGATTGTTGTGAAGGCTGCTTGCAAAGACCTCAAGGAAAGCCGGGTATTCCGAAAACTTCTAGAAGCAGTGTTGAAAACTGGAAACCGCCTCAATATGGGTACGTTTCGAGGTGACGCTCAAGCTTTCAAACTGGACTCTCTTCTGAAACTTGCTGACGTGAAAGGAGTCGACAACAAAACAACGCTGCTTCATTTTGTCGTGGCAGAGATTAATAAATCAGAAATTGCTCGGTTAGCTCGATTGTCTGGCAACGATGGGGACGGGCATGTCTCCTTCAAGGCTGCGGATTCTCCACGCTCCTCTGATTTCTCTGCAAGCATGGAAGCAGCCATGAAGATGCATGACGATCAATATGCGCCTGAAAGAATGCGTATGGGAATGATCATGGGGTTGCCTGCGGAACTATCCGCAGTAAGCGAGGCAGGCGGCTTCGACTTGAATTTGCTGCAGCAATCGGTTCACGACCTGGCCAAAGGCCTCCAGGAAATCAAGTCTCAAGTTCGAGAAGGGAAGTATACGAAAACAGAACCAGGAACAAGCGTAAGAAGACGATCTATTGATCTTAGTAAGGATACTTTCCAAGAGACAATGGAGAAGTTCATCAAGGATGCCGGTGCAGACGTAGAAGCAGCTCAGGAGGAGCTTGGCGAAGCTCTGCAAGCAGTGAGGGACACCAACAGATATTTCTACGGTAACGAAGCAGCAAAGAATGATTCCGACCCTCTTAAACACTTCAGGATCCTAAAGCAATTCCTCATTATGCTTGAGAAAGCTTGGAAAGATGTCATCAGGGACAATGTTAAGCCGCCATCTCCTCTATTGAAAGCATGAGGGTGAAGGTAATGGTGAAGGTGTAATAGTATTTAGTCTAAGTGCGCTAGACCCAGTGTGTTATATTGTCTCATTTTATTCACTTTTACACAAAAAATTGATCACAGATTTGGATTACGAGTTCATGGAAGTAGAAACTTGAGCATGATTTCTTATGCAATGGAAAAGATTGAATTGAAAGGCGATTCCAGCTGATCTGTCACCTGGCAGCTTCTTCCCGCCGCTTGAACATGTTCATTTTCTTCGGATGATTTGGCTACAAGCCTAGACTTGTGATTTTGGAGTATGTTTAAGCAAAGCTGGACAAATCGCACCAGGTTATTTGCACTACAGTTACTTCTTTCCCAGATGTAACCAGGTATGTTACAAGATTTCACAGGAAAACAAGACCAGCTCGCTGACGTTGCTTAGTTCCTCGTCGACGTTGAGGGTTGTTTGACCTAGTTGCGATTCCTTGCACTGTAGATTCTACGTGTGCATTGGCTTTCGTAACTGCTTGACATCTTTCTGCAACGTGAACTCTCGAAATGGAACTATTCCTGCCCTCGCAGTTGCTGTCTCACCTGACGAATTGTGTCGAGAGCGCTGCGGCCAGGATTGAAAAGACCACCGAGAAGTAACACATACACGCACACAAGCGCAACCTTGACATCCAACTTCTCTTTGCACCCCGTGCGTGAGTATTGAGCACCGCATCGTAATCGAAATCCTCCACAGGAGGGATGGAGCTCACAATGTGATTCATTACCAAGGAGCTCCCGGACTGCTGCTTTCTGTCAACACTCCTAATCGGTGAGCTCAAAACCCGCGCACCATTAGGTTGAGTAATTTTGAAAAAATAAACACACCTGTACCGAAATTTATCCTAGATTTAGGAGTTCGACCACACGGCAATGGTTTAGGAGCTACTGTCGCATTCATGGACCATCAAAAAGCTTCACCAAAACGAGCAAGCACCGACTCCTCTGCATTACAAACCTACCAAAAGGAGTTTTTTTGCATTTTAACGTTGAGATAGAGCACAGAAGACATATCAGAGAATGGAAGAGCAGGAGAGCAAACACGATTATTTTACAACCAATTGGCGAGCTTACTATGAATCTTCAGACTGCTACACAAGCGACCTGGCATTGGAATCGCCTGTAATGAACCATCATGAAGTGACCCATCAGAGGGTATCTCCACGATCCCCGTTCTCGCAATCAGATGCCGACGTCTCACTCGCCCATTGACTTTGCGACCAACTGACGCGCCAACCCGAAGACAAAACCATACCAATCGTCTGGTGGCACACTCACGAGTCACGCTTCGAGGAGCTGTAACATGGGGAGACTGGGGGAGCCGGTCCACATCCAAGCACAGGCACGAGTCAAACGGGGAGCTACGCTTCAAAACCAGGCTAAGGATACGATCATGCGTCGTTTTCGATGCTCCGGCACACACACCGATCCTTGCAACCACGATGGTCACTTCCCCTCGTCGTCAGCTCGGCTCCGGACAGGCTGCAGCCTTCTGGCGCCGAGGAAAAATAGCTGGACCCACTCTGAGTAAGAATCCTATCCACACGGCGTTCGCATTGCTGGTCACGCGCAACAAGCACAACCCGCACATGAACTGCGCTGTGGCTAAAATCTGAGCGCACAAGGTCGGCGTCGAGGTCCACCTCCGAGAAGGCCGTGAGGAACCGCCTAGTGACGCCGAGTGACGCTCAGGGACGTCCAGTAACGGCAAGCGGCATCGGCGACCTTCACGCGAACGCGCGTCTGCGGCGCGGCGTCTAACGAACTCGTTGAGTCTTGTGGACCCATTTTTTCTGAGTCTTTTTTATGGTTTGTTGTGTCCTTTTTTCACAACTTTAAATAGAAATGAAAATTTTTACCTGCTCTTGAGCAAGCGAGTGAATAGTGTTTAGAAAGTTTAAGATATGCAGTGTATTGTGTGATGGTCGAAGAGATTATTGTTTTAATGGTGACTAATTTTGTATGAATTACATTTGAATAGTTTTGATATGTAAAAATTGCTTGGATTTGAAGTTGAAGTTATCAATGAATGTAGTATCATAAATTTTCTTAGATTTTATTCTGGTAGTAGTAAAATATTCACATTAACTGCATAATTTTTTTAGCTTCACACTAAATTATTTAAAATTACAAAAATAATTGTAATCTCTGTAAAGTTTTATATTTTATTTTCATGTTCTATGTTATGGGTTTTTTTTTTTTTTTTTTTTTTTTTTTTTTTACATTTTATGTACTACTTTATATGCTTAGAATTTCTTCTTTTTGAAAAAATTGACTTTTGAGTTAAATATTCTATGATACTAACCTATACTCTATTACTGATGCCTATACTATTTTTACCAGTGTGATTAATTTTTACGAAATAAGCTTGTAATGTATTCTTAGAGACATATATACATACACATTGAAAAAACATTCTTTGATATATATATATACAAAATTCTACAATTTTGTGCAAATTCCATTGCAATCATACAGTGAAATAAAATTGGAATGTTTTATTTGATTGTGAGCCATACATATATATATATATATATATATATATATTTATATTATTTTATCAATTCAGTACTATTCAACTTGTTCAATTTCTTTACTATGATGAACTTATTTTATTTTATTTTATTTTTAATACTGAGAAATTGGAAATGTTCTAAATTGTAGGGATATGAATGTATATTCTGTATGTGATGGTATATTCATTTCACAACTCCCAACTCAAAGGCCATTAAATTTCATCCCAAAACCCTTCATTTTTACACTCATTTGACTAACTCAGTTCTTCAAAATCGAGCTTTTCCAACAACTCTTTCCATGGTTTCGATCCAGGTTTAGGGGAAAACAATTCCACCGAACAATCAAAGCAGAAACCCAAAACATGGAGTTCATCGTTAAGAAACCAGATCCTTCCTTGTTGTTGAAAGCAGTGAAGAAGCAAAAAAGAGAATAATAATAATTTGCGACAGATTACAGTGATTGCGAAGTGTGGATGTGGAGCAGGAGTGGGACAGTGAGACATAGCGGTGAAGGAAAAGGCGAGAATTGCGAGCTAGATTGAGAGCTGGACCATGCATGCAGTTCACACTACGAGGCTTTTGGTGAGGAAGGCGTGCAACTCTGCGTCAACTAGGCGATGGGTGGTAGTGTTGTTGTTGTTGTTGCTGCAGCTGCGGGTGTTGCAGTTGTTGTTGGTGTTGTTGGTGGTAGTGATGGTGTACGAGGGGGTAGAGGATGCGAGGGAGAGGGGGGAGGGAAGGAAGACAGGGCCGCAGGCAGAGAGGGGGTTTGCACGTGTGGGGGCTAAGGAGTGTGGACTGTCAGGGCTGCTGCTTCTGCTTCGCACAGTGGGTACATCTCCTGGTGCTGCCTCGCATCCATCCCCCCCTTTTACCCATGCTGCCTCCCTGCTTCATCTCTCGCTCCTCAGGTTGCTTTCGAGTTGGCAATGCGCAGCTCCCGAGGCGCTGCAGCAGAAAGCAGAAGCTGGCTGTGTCAATCCCCACCTGGATGCTGCTGCTGCCTGGGTCCAGGAAAGGCTGCACCTGCTGCTGCTGAGGCTCGTCGTCGTGTGTTGCCAAATGGGAGGGACAAGACCCCTGGTGCTGTTGGTGGTGCAGTTGCTGGAGAGGGAAACAATCGCAGATTCGTAGTGTCATCACCCGGTGGGTTTTCCTGTCTGACTGCCATGCCTCGCCGTCCTCCTTGACATATATTTGTCTTTGCTCCTTTAATTCACTTTTTCTCGGCCGTTGTCGCGTTTCCATGCTGTCGGTGTTTCTAAGTCGTTGCAATAGTGGCACTGTCGGTCAGTACCACGTACAGCAGACTAGTTAAGCACATGCAGGAGGGTGGGGGAGAGTGAGAGGGAGAAGAAATATGGGTTTTCGAGGATACGCTCACGCCATGGCCAGTTACGCTGCACAGTCGAGCTTGTGCCCTCTTCAGTCTAGACCAGTTTTGATCGGCGATGCCCTTTGGATTATCATCACAGACAGAGAGTAGACCAAGAGTAGACTAGGTCAAGATGCTTGCTCTTGCTCACATTGTTGCAGTTCTGATAAGAAGCGTCTTATCTTCCTCCTCAGACGTATTGTTCGGAACTCTTCAATCTGTTTCCGAGTCACAAGTTGGAGGTGGAAGGTGGAACAGGATTTGAGAAAGAGAGTGAAAGACAGCGCAAGCAGAGGAGGAGGAGGAGGAGGAGGAGGAAGAAGAAGAATAAGAAGAAGCTCTCTTTGAACTTGAAAAGGCAACGGGTACATTCTTTAATTGTCACAGTTCAAATGAGTTTCTAGCGTCTCAGGTTTGTTACAGGTTTGCTTCAATGGTTTGCAAAACGTATCCTCTTGAAACAATCTTCCTATTTCTTTCTGGGAGGCGCTCTTACTTGAACTGTTAGTAAAACAACCTTGCATAGCCATTTATTTTCGTGCATGTGTTCTGGGTTTTTGAAGCAGGGAAGCGTGGACAAGGTTTAAGCGGCCAGTCGCTTCTAGAAGTTTGTTTGTGAATGTTGCATTGTTCGGCATGATAGCTCATTGAAGATGAGAGCACTGTGGTGTACAAGGTGGTGATGCTTGTGAACCGATGAGAAAGGGCTTTGGTTGGTTGATCAGATTTGAGTTCAGGGGGAGAGAATGGGGTGCTTGTGGTCGAAGCACTTCGAGGCCCCTGTGTCCACTCCAGCAATTCCAGAAGTAGATCATATTAATTCAGGTTATGAACAACAATCATTCTTGCTCTTCTTTGTCGTTTTGTCTCGGAAGGTCTTTCATGTGGCTTTGGCATCACCAACAGTTTCGTCAGTACTTAACGAACACAAATTAGAAGTTATTTTTTCACTGGATTGGCGTCCTTGACACAGCAGTCTGTCACTGTTTATTCAGGGTACAAAAAATTTTGTTTGTCAGTACTACTGTCGGCAGATACGGGTTTCTTTTTTTGAGAATTTTGGTCTTTGACCCTGCTGTAAACCGTCATACCGTCGCTAAGGTGAATTGGGCGTGGCGACGTAGGATCTGACATAATCATTGCACTGTAGGCGCAGAGAACGGACGACGAGTTGAACCAGAAGAAGTTCCAGCGTTCAGAGAATTCACTTTGGAGTCATTGAGAGCGGCCACCAATTCCTTTAGCAGTGATCAGATAGTTTCAGAAAGTGGAGAGAAAGCACCTAATTTTGTGTATAAAGGCAGGTTGGATCAAAAACGTTTCATTGCCATCAAACGCTTCCCTAAGGCTGCCTGGCCTGATGCCAAAGGCTTTGCGGTACCCACACTTTCTCCTGAACAATCCAAGTGATCACTCTTTGCTATTCTAGGGGATTCTACGCGATGAGATTGTCCTAGCATAAAATGGATTGCCATTACGTTAATTGATCGCGTCTCTTAGATCCTCTTATCCTTGAGTTTGTGTTTAATATCATTATAATTTATGACAAGGGTTATAGGTACGTGCAGTCACCATGCTTCCAAGGTTAGTGAGTTACATTCTTTTCGCTGTGAGTTTTATTTGAAGCGTTTGGATGGAGGGTTTGCAGGATGAAGCATGGAAGGTGGGCCAAGTTCGGCACGAAAGATTGGTGAATCTAATTGGGTACTGCTGTGAGGGTGATGAGCGTCTTCTTGTCGCGGAGTATATGCCAAATGACACTCTCGCAAAGCATTTGTTCCACTGTAAGTGACATCTTTGCTGTATGGGAGGTCTGATAACAAGATAACCTTTTCTGTCTTTCAATGATGATTCTATTCTGTAAGAAGTGTTTTGCGCTAACATTTTCAGGTCATTTGTTCTTAGATGAGGTGCATCTTTACCTTTCCTGGTGGATGATGAAGTTTGTTGATTTTCCATATTCTCTTGTTACAAAGATACTGGGATTTGTTTTGTCATTTGATCTTAGACTTGTGTGGCCGATAATTCTACAGGGGAAAAGCAGCCAATGCAATGGGCGATGCGGTTGCGAGTTTCTTTGTATATTGCACAGGCTTTAGATCATTGTGCCAATAGTAATCTACGTTTGTACCATGATCTCAATGCCTACCGCGTCCTGTTTGATCAGGTATCTCTTTTTGTGAGACACGAGAATGAATTCGACCAAGTCATTGTTACGAGTCTTACTCCTCGGTCTCTATATTCCAAAGAAGAATGAGCTTGGGTGGTCCCAGCACATCTCCTTTTTTATTTTTGTGGTTTTTCCTTTGAACTAGCTCTGCTTGGTATGTGGATGTTAACTAAAGTCTAGAAAACGGTTAGTTTATTTATGGTTATCTGCAATTTATCAGGATGGAGACCCACGTCTCTCCTGTTTTGGGCTCATGAAGAACAGCAGAGATGGGAAAAGCTACAGCACCAATCTGGCTTACACTCCTCCTGAGTACTTAAGAACAGGTATCCCACGGTTTCCCTCTTTCTGGATCGAATATTTGAGCAACCTGGAAATTAGCAATTTCTATTATGTTAAATGTATGCATGCATAATGTATGCATGCTTCTCTTTGGTACGTGACAAATGTCATAAGAGGGTTTGCAGGGAGGGTGACGCCTGAAAGTGTCATTTACAGCTACGGAACGGTTCTGCTGGATTTGTTGAGTGGGAAGCATATACCTCCTAGCCAAGTAAGAGCACCTCGTAAAAATACATTGACTTATTATTTTTCTCCGCTGCTGGAAATCATAAGTGACTGTGATTGTACTATTCTGACTTAATGAAGTGAGCAAAGATATAATGACAGAAGCGCACTGTTACAAAAAAGAACTTTGGTACTCATACAAAAAAAATCTCTTTAATTCAACTGATTTCCGAACGAAAGTTGCTTCCAGCTACTGACGGTTTCATAATGCAGGCTCTGGACTTAATTCGTGGCAAGAATATGATCCTGCTCATGGATTCGTCCTTTGGAGGACAGTTCCCAAATGATGACGGCACAGAGTTGGTTCGACTCGCATCTCGCTGTTTGCAATTTGAACCTCGAGAGCGCCCGAATGCGAAGATGCTTGTTAGTGCACTCACTCCTCTGCAGCGTCGAACAGAGGTAGGCTGTTACCGTGATCTAGTTTGTTACAATTAAAATTCAACTTTGCGGAATTCTTTGAATGTGGGCTTCCTTGATTAAGGTATTGCTGTTTTATTTAACCTAAAAAAAGTAATCTGCTTCTGGCTTCTGGAAGAGACGTTGTAGAAGAATAATAAAAGAAAGAGTTGCATGTTCTGTCTACTGATTTCAGTGATAGTCCAGCAGTGTTTGACGAGTAATGTGCTCAGGAAGGAATGAGGATGCTCACGGGTTTAGCTTTTGTCCTGCGTGGCAATAATCAATGGAAACTACTGAACGATTGTGTGTAGCAAATCCCTTCGTACACGTTGATGGGTATCCAAAGAGGAGATCGTCGAGCTTCTCCCCCTCTTCCGTTGTCACCACTGGGCGAGGCGATTGCTCGAAATGATCACACAGCGGTGCACGAAATTCTCGTGAAAACTGGCTATAAAGATGATGAAGGTGCAGAGAATGAGGTGCGCTGCTCGAACACATTTGACTCTTGTACTTGGTATCTCTGAGGTTCTCTGTACAAGTAATACGCATTTCCAGTTACTGAAGATGATTCATGCTGGAAGTTACACCATAGTCTCTGGGGTTGTGAGAAAGATTTTCACATCCTCTTGTTGTGCACGATGCGCATCACGTTGCAGCTTTCCTTCCAAGTGTGGACAAAGCAGATGCAGGACATGCTGAATTCTAGGAAGAAGGGAGATATGGCATTCCGTGACAAGGACTTCAAGATGGCCATTGATTGCTACACGCAGGTTCGTTCTCGCCCGAGTACTGGAGTGTCGCAAACTTCGATAAGCTTGTCAAGCACCAATCAATTTCTCGTGTTCCTGTCTCAATTTTTTTTTCATGACAATGTGAGGGGCTGGTTTCAGTTTGTCGATGTAGGCACTATGACTTCGCCCACCGTTTTCGCTCGTCGAAGTCTAGCTTACTTACTTAGCGACCAAGCCGAAGCAGCCTTGCGTGATGCTATGCAAGCCCAGTACGTGCACCCCGAGTGGCCGACCGCTTTCTACATGCAAGCAGCAGCTCTCGGCAAGCTCGGAATGGAGACTGATGCTAGCGACATGCTGAAAGAAGGCGCTGCACTCGACTTGAAGAAAGCCAACAGTTTCCATCGTTGAAGCGGGCGAGAGACTTCCCATTTCCCCATTCTCATTGAATCTCTTTTTCCCCTCATCCCTGAAAATCCATGAAGCAAGCTCAAGGTTTTGTGGTAGATTCCACCGCAGATATGGGCCCTGCTTTCTCTCGGTCTCGAACGCGAATGACATGTTGGAACACGCATTGTGACCAGAAGCGTGAGTAGAATCAGATTTTCTCTGCTTGAGCAGAACCAGGGAGGTGAGGAATGAGTCTCGCTCCCATTTGGGTCGAGAGTCTCTCTTGCCCAAGTGTGAATCAGTCATGGCAGGTAGAAGGCAATACAATGGTGGGAGTTGGGGTGTAAAATAAGAACTTTGGGGTGCTAGATTTATGATCAGCTCTGCCGTCTTCGTGCCTCATCTCAAATAAGCATCGTTTCTTCTTCCTTTTGTCTTCGTTCTGCCCTTCTTTTTTTTTTTTTCTTTTTTTTTCTTTTTTTTTTCTCTATCTTTTTACTTTCTGTCCGTCTTCTTTTGTGTTGTGCTTGTGGTGGTTTCAATGGAGGTTGTGAGCTCTCACATGGATTATCCTCTGCTACCTTCAAGACCGTCCTTCTGGAACTATCCTTCTTTTCTTCTTTTTTTCAAATAATAGCCATGACGACATTGTTGTTTTTATTTTATTTTATTTTTGCGAAATTTTCATAAATAATAGAAAATTGATCCTTGTTTTTTATAGTTATATTTAAAAGAATTGCATCATTTTTAACTTTAATTTCGATTTTTAATGTCTTAGAAGACAGTTTTTGTAATTTGTATGTATCTGCGGGAATGTTGTTATTTTTGTTCATTTTCAGAATTCAAAACCTTACATTCTAACACAATTAAAAAAGCTTGTTTATGTGTGTGTATGAAGATGTAGATAAAATAATTGTATATTATATGATTAATTTGTAATTGAGTCTTTAAAAATTACAAAGCATAAAAACAGCTGAATGACTGGACGAAATACGTTACTGTATTTCAAAACTCAAATGAATGAAGACAAACAACTCTTCTTACATTTATCTAAATCGATGAATTGATGTCACAAATTAGTGTACTTTGTCTTTCAATTTCTTAAACAACAGACTATCTTCTTGAGAATGATGCCCAAAAGAGCATTTATCTCTCACCATCAAATAATTTTTCCGCTAAGAAAACAGCTCTCAATATGCCGTAATCAACAATGCTACATCCATTTTTTATTCTTAAGCAGGCTCTACGTAATGCCAACACAAAACATCGCAATGCTAACACTCACGATAAAAATAAAAATAAAATTGTGTGTAGTACAACCACACGAGCTAAGAAACATATTCAATGAAACCAGTAATGTTGAAGTTTAAGATTTGTTAAGGAATTGAACTTCCCCTTGCTGAGGAGTAAGAAAGCATGGCGCCGGAGCAGGAGCAGAGGCGGCAGCAGCAGCAGCAGCAATGACAAAGGCCAAGAGCCGCAACCAGCGACGCAATGGCCGCAGCGGCCACACAGAATGCCCTGAAGCATGAAACCTGAAAGCCTTCAGATAATGCCGTAGAGCCCGAATAGCTGGCCAGATGAGGCCGCTGCACCTACCCCTCACTCACGCTCTGCTTACAAATTCCGTTCTCCCTGCATCATTCTTCGTGTGGCTCCCTCTCCATCGCACAAACGATTGCTCGCTCACTTTTGGGTTCTTCTCACCTCGCTCGCCACCTCTAGCTTTCAGTCTTTCGTTTTGAGCAAGATGGTGAGAATGCCTGGAGCTTTGCTTGCTTTCGTGTTAGCCTCCGCGATGTTAATCTGGGATGTGCCAGTCACTGCCCTTACCATTCCTTCGGGTGCCACTTCGATCCCAAACTTTGAATCCAATGCCAGTGAACTTGTTTGTGGTTATTGTAATTAAGGAATTGGGGTGTCGGGCTAGAATACAGGTACCGTTGATCAGCATTGCATGCATACTAGGCATGTGTGTTGCATTGCTAAACTGACGTGGGGTCTAGACGGTGGCTGCAGGTGCAGCTACAATGGGTAAAATTGGTGGTTTGTTACGAGAGTGTCGATGTGGTTGCAGGTCGAGACAAGGACGCGTGGCCTGAGCTTCTTCATGAGGACTGGGAAGTGGCAAAGGCCGCGTTGGAGTCCAGCGGGTTTGTTCAGAATGTGTACGTGCAGCACCCCGGTGGATCCAGGCCTGCCAACATCGGCAGCCCCGCCGATATTTGGCTCTACACAGACGGCAGCACCACGTACGAGATCCCTCGACGTGGGGTCTGGCATCCTAACCGTAATTCACCTCTTTCCCCTAATCTCGTCGTCGGGTCTGATTTTGTAGCAGTTGTCAGAATAGTTCAAGCACAACATACTCGATCTGCATTAAACCAGTGGCACCTGTGCATCAACCAGGGAATCATCACTTCAGTTGGGTCATGTCATCCCTGTACGCAGAATCAAGTCAATCCTAGTTGTGGACCGAGATCAGATCAACACTAAACCCCTTCGATGAACTTGGTTTCTGTAATGTGAGGTCACGACTGATTATCTGACCCTCGTTGTGTGCCACCCATACTACAGGGTTGGTTCCAGGTTGGCCGGAGCTGACCGGCACCTTCTACACCGCAGCGATTGCGAAAATCAAGTCAGATTATCTCGGTGTGACTGTTATATACAGCCCCAAGGGCTCACCAGTTTACACAACCGAGATTCGGATGGACCGCGTCATCGTGAGCATCAACAGCACCGATGGGACGGTGCTCGGGGTACCCTCGGTCTATTAAGAGCTCGAAGCAACTGATTCACATTCACAAACTGAGAATGCATAGTCCAGAGTCATAGTCCGTTTTTTAGGTCTGTTAGTTTTCCTCATGCACACCCTCTTCGAGTCCTTGGCCTTGTTCTCAACTTCCAGGAATAAAACTGTTTTCCTGTCTCGTGTATGTTTAACTGGTTTTGCTGCTCGACTCACACACTGAATGTCTAGAAACTGATCGTGAATTTGCATGAATGCCTATCAGTTTAGGCTTCGAGGTTACTTGCTCTGGTTCAGCCTGATTCGACGTAGAGCTTTTCCTTAAGAAGTGTGAATGCTGTGACACCATGTTTCTACTATTGCTGTCAAATATTGTGGTACATGCGATGGAGTGGTGCAGAAACTTCAAATCATATTGAAACGGTGCATGAGAAAGATATGAATGATATGTGATAATAGAAGACGAGCATGAAATTCAGGATTGATCAACCTTGGACTTGATGGTGTCAATTTGAGTGTTGATAAGGAATACTTGGGTGTTTGATGAAAGTGCAATAACTTGTTGGGAGGTGCCCATCAATGTTCTGTGGTGAGTTTCGGTAGAATTTCCACATCTCGATTTGTTAGTTTTGATAAAAATAAAAATCACAAGTTTATTACTCATATTAGTTTTCCACACAGCTACATGAATTTTTTACAGTTTGATGTAATAAGAATATTATGAAATATAAGTTTTTTGAAATTTGTATTTATCGATGATTTTGATTGATTGTTAACTAATCTAACATTGCGTGATTTCATTTTCATTTTTTCAATCTAAATTGCTTGAACTTAATGAGCTTGTATCATCTATTTACATATCATCCTTATATGAGCTTGTATCATCTATTTATCTGTCTCTATTTATCTGTCTCTATTTATCTGTTTCAATTAAAATACACACACACACACATATATATATATATATATATATATATATATATTAATTACATACAATAATTCAAATAAAAGTAGATTTAGAGTTAATTTGTTTGTTGAAACTGTAATAAAAATAAATTTTGAATATTTTAAGTATATATATATATATATATATATATATATATATTCAAGATTTGTTTTAAAATGGCTGCCAATAATTAAAAAAAAATATTATGATATATGATATAAAGAAAATGAAGTCAAAAATTATGTTTTGAATATATGTTTTGATTATTAGAGAAATCTATGTTCAAAAACATAAAGATTGTAAAAACTTTATTTCACTATATACAAATCTACAAACACATGTATATATGCATATGCATTTTTAAATAATTAATAAAATAAAAAATAATTGAATAAAAATTGCAAATATTAACCTGTAAAGATCCTATAATTAAGATTTTTGGTTTTTACAATTTTAAACTAGTTGATGAAAACTAATTTATTGTATCCTATGCAATAAAATAGTACCTAAAAAAAAGCTTAAATTTTAAATCGCTAAAGTAAATTGATTACATTTGTAAACTTATAAAAAAAATTATGAATTAAAAGATTTAATTCATTTTAATAAATTTAAAACTATTTATTTCTTACTTTGCAGTAAAATTACAGTTCCTACATTAAATTCTTTAAACACATTTCATATTTTGTAAAAAATTATTGATTTTTTTTAATAATATAAGGAAAATAATTGTGTTGATGTTTTAAGCATATTGTTGAAAATGACATGGTACTTTCCTTTGCTGTTATCCACAATAAGTTTGATACTTGTGTATATGAAGCTTAAGGTCTATTCTTCAAAAGCATAAAATCAAAGAAATCCAAAATTCCAATAGAAAACTTAAGCAAAGTTAATAACCAAATCATGTTTAAGTATCAAGAGATACCATGAACATTAAATATCAATCAAAGATCTTTGCGCTTTTATTGAATTGCATCACAACCGTAAATCAATAATTTCAGAGTTCACCATGCAAAATTCTCATCTAACATGTGAATCCATCATCTTTATTTGCAATTTTATTCCCCATGTTATTATACATTTGAATATAGATAAAGAATGACTTTACCTCATACCATATTATAGCAAATTTATATGAATTCAACTTGAATGTGGCTCAAGCTTCATCATAAAGTACATGAAATCTTCCTACAACCCACAAAGTGAAACACTAATTATTCATGTATCCCACCTCATGAAATCCATGTGCAAGTGTCTTTAATTAACTTTGTCGACCTCCAATGTTTCCATTTCCTTATTAAATTTTAATCACATTTGTTCTAATCCTTCAAATTTCATGGTAAAAGTAAGAGCTTTAGACAAGACACCGAACTAATAAATCTGCACATTGACACCAAATGATGTGTTTCATACTTATTATGAACAATAACCAAATTTAGAAAATCTAATGTGACAGATGAATCAAACCAGAATGCAACGTAGATAGTTGAAATCTATTTTAAGTTTAGGAATTTGTTCCATTTTAAATGACAAACATGTTTCGAAAAATTGCATGTTGTGGAGAGATTTTAGTTTAAGGAAGTACTGAAAACTGAGTTCGGTGCCACTGATTTGGAAGTTACAACTCCAGTTTCGTAGAAAAAACGAGGATTATAACTCTACAACATTCCATTGTGTGGCATGAATTGCTGTGCGATACGAGCAGTTTTGTCGAACTTCGGGTTACTGACGCATCGGAGCATCGGTGCATCCCCCATTTTCAAGAGCTCGGCCATCGATGGAGCAGGCCTCGCTTGGTTGAATCACAACCTGCTTCGATCAGACAGATAGCAGAACCGGATGGTCCAGTGCTTGCTTGCGGCTCTGGACATCCAGTCTGACACTCTTCTATTGCAGTCTAGAATTCATAGCTTTGCTCTACGTGGGGTGTGAGCCCCACCGATGTGGGGCTCACAAATGGGGATTTGAGACAACAAGTGTTCCAACAGGAATCTTGCACTGAATGACATTCATGTCGTCGACGCAGCAGCAGCAGCAGCATCTTCCCTGAAGCACTGAGCATACACGGAACGCCTGACCGTGTTCTCGTAGGAGCCTGCAGTTAGATGAACTAAAATTCGTAGTCACTGGTCTTTCGTTTTGTTAGGCGTAGCGACGAAGTTGCTGTCCTGTGAGAACAACTTCGTAACCATGCCAGCGATGTCCGCTGTTCGGGTATCGGCAAGTCTATTCAGTAACCAGGCCCTGCAAGCATTTCCAAAACTGAAAATGATGCCCACTCACCCATCACAAGCTCTCAGTGAGTGCAAGAATGACGACAGTAAGATCCTCCGCGTTTCAATTCATGGAGATTGGTGTGCCGAGACCCAACAAACTCTTCTTCTTTTTTCACTTCTGATTCATCTGATAATCACGGTGCTCAAAATCTCGGAGCGAGAGAGGGAGCGCGTTAAGGATCTGCTAGGCAACCGCCACTCATATCATGTTGAATAATATTTTATAATTAAATTTGGAGCAGTTGATTTCATACGGAGATGTAGCTCAGATGGTAGAGCGAGAGCAAAGATCAAAGTTTAGATTTAATCAAAATTTCAAATTTTTTGAAATGGCTATAACGAGAGCTCAAGGTGTGGACTAGAGCGAATACAGAGCCAAACAATTGTTTACCCCTGAATTTAGCAGAGCTCATCGTTGTAAGGAAAATTACAAATAGAGACTCACAAGCCCACAGACAGGCTGGACCCAGTAAAGCGGCGAAACAAAAAAAACGATAGACATAATTGCGAACGAGCACCCTCGCACGAGGAAGACGGCGGCGAAGGAGTTCAGCAGCAAAGGAACCAATATCGCAAGGATAACTCGGGGGCACACAGCTGCAAATTTATCATCTAGAACCTTCAAACTTTGATGATACAATCACACAGCATCCTATTGCAACCATTACTCGGTCTCATATAAACAGGTGCAACACGCAAAGGGTATCCGAGTTACATCACGGGGGCATCATGGCAACAAAAAGACCCGAGGAAGGGGCAACCCAAACTACATTAGACGGCCATCTCAAAGTGGACCTTCCTCAGTCTAATACCTTAGCATTGGAGACCATGCCAACACAAAGCACACAATCAACACACCAAAAGTCTCCCAAGTCTAAGACAACCCATCAGGCACACCTGGACCCCATCACGAAGGAATTATCTATCTTTAGGGATCCAGACCTGGAAACAGTGACACAAAGATTTGCGTCACAATTACCACAAAACCTTAGACACCTAGTACAGACACAATGGGAGGAAACAGTGCATTATATCAGGGCTAACCCACATCTAGGACTCGCCCACAAATCGACAGTAGAAGGAGAACTACGGAGAATACTACAAAAAATAAAACCGTAAGTGGAGACCCTCCTGACAGCTAGTGGCATTGATCCACACAAATAGAAGGCTCTCAACCAGCGCAAGAAAGTATCAAAACTGTTAAACTATCCAACAACACTTTTCAAGTCCTACAAGAAGGAGCCGCCTGAATGCGCAGTCAAGCTGTGATTGGCCACGTACACTGCAATTTAGGTCCCAAAGTACTCCGAGACTTGGCCCAGCATACGCTCTATTGGTCCTTCGAATCATTATCCATGCTTGGCGGAGGTTTCTTCAAAGTAATATTCGCAGAGGAAGAGGGCAGGATGCATACACTTGCCAAACAACATCACATCAAACTAAATGAAATCTTCTTCACCCCTTGGCGTCCAAACTTCAACCCTAAAACGGAAGCCGACGGTGATACACGACTGATAAATCCAATGTGGGTGCAGATACATGGACTCCCCACATTACTGCAAACACCACAAATTCTAGTAGAAATAGTTAATCAATTTGCAAAGGTAATAAGGATAGTCACAGAAAACCAATACCGAGACATGGCGGCGAGACCACGTGTTTGCATTCTTGTATCAGACAGTGACGCCCTACCATCCAAGGTGAACATTCCCGACTACAAGGAGGAGATCGCACCGAGTACCACATCAAATACAGTGGTCCCCCCACTCAATATAGCCAATTTCGCAGTACATCCCACCAAGTGCGTAACTGCAGTCTCCAAATCAACACAAGACAAGTCATGCACTCAAGGATCCCCAACTAATAGAACAGACAACAGACGAACGGATCCAACAACCCCACACAACACGGAATGATCGAGAGAAACCTCACAATACACACAGGACAGACCGCACAGAGGACTTATGGCCAAC